CAATGAAACACTCCTTGTTCTTAAAAGAGAAAAATTAAAAATAACAATAGACATTGCAAAATTTGATTAATTTTCACTCACGGTGTTTTTGTAGTTGATACATTTCCAAACAAAGATAATTGACTACAGATACTTATGGAAACATTCTTTAACAAATTACATTTGCCAAAAATCAAACCTTTAGTTAGTCAATATTTGTATCAAAATCAGAAGGAACAGAGACATTGAATATTTAAAATTTATTTTAAAGAATATTTTGTACATACAATAATTACATCATTCTCTAACTGAATTTCTTATTTATTCTAATTATTTTTATTGAACGTTTTGATTCTTATTGGATGCCGGTGTAAAGACGAATAATGACCCCCATCGAATAATGACCGGGGGGTCATTTTTCAACGACAAAAAATGACCCCCACCCGTAGAAAAAAATCATTTTTTGTAGAAAAAGGGTCCTAGGGGGTCATTATTTTATATGTTAGTCCTATAAAATAATGACCCCCATTGAAAAATGACCCCCTTTAAAGTGATACAAAATATACACTATTTGATATCTTTTTTACAGCGAAACTAATTTTTACATTTTCTGTAACCAGAAAAATACAAAAAGTCGTATGAAATAATTAAGAGATTCACGTAGTTTTTCAATGCTAAAATTGTGTTTGAAAAGAGATTCTTTAATTGTCAAGTAAATAAAATTTCTTTTTAATATTCCTCCTTATAATGTTTGCTTAAAGAATGATATTCCACTTGTTTTTAGAAATCAAACCATGCAAAAATCAGGTTTAAATACTCTTTAATAGGAAAAATTAAATTTTCCGTCATTTCAACTTTTAGTTTGCTTAAGTTTGGCAAATCCTATTTGACAATGAAAGAGGAAGAAATTTTTATCCCCCCCCAAAAAAAAAAACATTACGTTAAATTAAAAAAAAAATAATAATAATAAATTAAAAGCAAAAATATAAATAAAACTCTATACCTTTCAATAATTCTGAAAGAGGCTCTAGATAAAATATTGAAATGAAGTTAAGCCTTCACACAAGTACTATCATATTATTATTTACTTCGCCCTGATTAAAGCATACTTTCAATGTTTGTCGAGGTATACTTGAAAGTATTGTGGCAAAGTAACAGTTAAAAATTAGTAGAATAGTAGATTATTTTTAGCTTATTTTTAATTCCTTTCTTATAGAAAAATAAAGGTAGGGTGGTTTTTTTTTTTTGCTTTTGTTCAATATCGACTTCCTCCTAAATAAGAAAGGGGTTGGGGTAAGTATAAGACCTAAAAATATGCTCTGTAAACTATGGGCTAGGGTAAAATACACAGTCATTCTAATGCAAAAACTATACATGTAGACATAAACTTTTGATTTAGCACACAGTATTCATTACATTTCTTTTAACGTAGAACCTACTTCGTATGACATCATAACTTGTAAATGTGTTAAACCTGTGCTAACCACAGACACTTGTTTCTGAAATAAATTTTTTACCCATAGTATAATAATAACACTTGTTATTATTATACTATGGGTAAAAAAATTATTTCAGAAACAAGTGCCTTTGTGTTATTATTATACTATGGGTAAAAAAATTATTTCAGAAACAAGTGCCTGTGGTGCTAACCCATTAAGACGTCATAATTAATTCAATGCCACTTTTTCCTGTACTTGACAGCTTCAATAAAAATGGTAGAAAATACTGCTTTTTGAAATTCACAGAATTCAATCATGCCAACATAATCATGATTCAATTCATATATTTTTTGGTTTATAATGCTTAATGGCAATATATTTCTGGAATAAGAGAAAATATGTAGGCACCATTTATTTACTAGATCTAGACCTGAAGTTGACAAACCCAAGACTATCTAGTGTAATGGAATTACTATGTTCATACAACTTTCGTAATAATTTGAATGGTATGTAACCATTTTGAAGGAATGCATAAATCATAAGAAATCTTTAGTTGCCTGCTATATAGTGTAATATCTTGATTAAATGTGTTTAAGTCAAAGATGTACGTGTTGTAGATCGTTTGATCGTGTGTACATTTTTGTGATATCTATAATGAAATGATGTGCATTCCTTTTAAGAATTATTTGTTACCTATTCATATTTTTGGTGTTTGATTACAATTTTTCTAATAAATATGATCTTTTTAAAGAAAAAGTACAATTTCTGATAAATATTTAATCTGAAAGTAACCCCAAACAGTCATTTAATTATTAAATCCCGTGTAAATGCAAAATGGTCAAGAATATGAGTATCGGTAAATAGCCTATCTTTCATTAGGTAGTGGGGAAAGGTATATATATTTTAATCATTTTTGTAATCATTTGGCTATGTTCTTCATCATATTGAAGATTGAAAACATTGTGACAAAGACGTCTAAAAAATATTTACAAATATAGGGTGAATAATTGACTAAAAATAATAGAGTTCATTTGACTATTTTTTTTTAATGGTGGACTTATCTTTTATGTTAATTGAATAAAAAAGAAATTATTCTTGATAAAATATTGTTTAATATTATTCAGTTAAAAAGTTTATAAACGACTATGTTTGAAGAAGAATTGTTGTGATTTTTCATATTCCCTTTATGACAAGTACCCCTAAAAATATTTGAAAATGTGAAGTCGCAGTATGTAAATACCCTACCAAGTTTCACAGCCTGTTTTAGATTAAAAAACAAGGAAACATATCATGATATCTTTATTGATTGATAAGCAAGTATTAATTTATCATTTTGAAAAGTTTGAAAATCTTGTGACAAAGACCTTTCCGACATAGGTTCTACCTTAATTCTTGTTTTACTCCACCCTTTTACTCAGTTCTGAGTATATTTTTCAAAGAATTTAATATGAAAATCAGAACAAATATTTTCATTGTTGTAACGTCTTCTTTATAATGTATATTAATATGAAAAGTTAATTGAAGACTACTTCTTTTTATGTCCCCGTAGTCGAGGATTCGGGGGTATATAGTTTTATCGTGTTCGTCTGTATGTCCGTCTGTCTATCTGGCGGTTTGTTTGTCCGCAAAAACCTTAACCTTTACCATAACTTTTCATTTATTGGAGCTATTACTTTCATATTTAATATGTATATTCCTTGTTACAAGACCTTACTTTGGGTACTATCAAATTTGACCTTTTGACCTTTACCTTGGAGTTTATCCCATTTAACACAAAAATGCCAAATTTTTACTTTGGCCATAACTTTCAAACGGTAGATACTAGTACTCTCATACTTCAAATATGTAGTTTTTTGGCACTATCTTTCATTGGATACTAAAAACCTTGACCTTTTTACCTTGACCTTGGAGTTTTCCGTACTTATGATTTTTTTTATCTTGGCCATAACTTTTGAACGGTAAGGGCTAGGGTATTCATACTTCACATACGTAATCCTTGTTACATTAAACATTTTCTTACGAAATCATCAACTTTGACCTTTGAGTTTGACCTACCTTTCAAAAACTTATCCTTAGCCATTACTTTTGAACAAGTGGTGCTAGGGCTTTCCTATTTTGCAGTTGTATTTCATGTGAGAAGACCCTACTTTGGGTAACAATATATTTAAATTGCATTTCAGGAAAGTTAAATCTTCGCTATGTTGCCATACAGAGGCAAAGCTGTTTCACAAACACATTTTTTTATATATGAGGATTTGCGGATAAGAGATGGATACCTCAAAGCGTAACAGACGGACGGACGGACATCCCAATCACTATATACCCTCCCGCTTTTCAAGCGGAGGATATAATAATATATAATACTGCTGATTTTTTCTGTCAGTTCGATGATTTCCACCATCAAAAAACAATGTTTACCTAACCCTTAAGGCTTGATAAACCTTTTACTCCTTTAGATTCTGAATCATTGCATTTACCTTAAAATATAGATATAATTGTATAATGTTATGAGATCAACATATCATCAGATTATTCCCAATAAGCTCAGGTGAGCATTTTGGCCAATATGCTTCTTTATCCAATTTTTTTTGCCCCCTAAAAATTTTAGCTTTAATCTACAGGGGGTCATTTTTCTACGGGGGTCATTTTTCTTCACGTGGGTTCTGCAAACTTTTAGGGAAGTGACACTTTTTCTACGGGCAAAAGGGTCATTTTTCTACGTCGAATAATGACCGGGGGTCATTTTTCGCCGTCGAAAAATGACCCCCGGTCATTATTCGATGGGGGTCATTATTCGTCTTTACACCGGCATAGGGAGAATAAAATTTTTCCTAAATCAGCAGTATACATTGTCCTCATGAGACCTTTTGAACCTCATTATGGGAGATTCAGTATTTCAAAATTTAACTCCTGTATCTAGTTCCTTGATCCGGCAGTTGATTGTTTCCGGACAACTGTAAATACAGGTTCTCCAGATTCATCCAGCACTCCAGTTCACTGAGAGGAAGCTCAACCCTAAATTCCCTTTGACAAGGTATGTAATTTGAATTGCATTAAATTTAATTTTTTTACTCATATGATCACGATGATCATGAAATGTTGATTAAATTTACAATGCTGTTCTTCTTAAATTGAAACTTTATTATCCATGAGACTATAAACATTTCAATCCAAAAATTCAATCCTGGTTTGTTTTTTTTTCGAAACATTTTTTTATTTTTTTAATGAATACCCGTAAACTTGACTTTACATTTTTTTTTCACTCGTACTAAAAATGATATCAGTGTCTGGTGTTAAACAAAATCAAATATGCTAAGATCGATTGTGTGCCACATTTGTTGAAAGGTGATGTCACACAATAAAAATAATCATAAAAAAGAAAATGCAGTTTCCAAATTTAATTTAACACGCACTTCTATTCCTCAATTTAAATCAATTAGTTTCCTCTAATTGTAAATGTGTGAAAATGTTAAAAGTGTGAATGTGTTAAGTGTATGTTGTGTTAAATGAAATTTAAAAATAAAATTTTGAAAACATTTTAAATAAATAATTTTTACCGATTTCTTTTGAAGGATCCTAGCGAAATCAACAAAAGACAATGGCTTTTAGAGAACAAGGTATGTTTTCTATTGAATGTGTACTAGTAATGCTCAGTCATCAAAGACAGTTTGTGAGATATAAATGTACGCAGAAAAAAGTTGATTCAACATGAAAGGTCAGGTAATATGATTTTAATCATTGTTTTTTATCTTTGTAGCAAACGTTGAAGTTGTGCTGAAATTGGCGCATGAGATGCTTTTTACGGTCGATCCTTCTGCGAAGAATCAGACAGAGGAAGAGCATAAAGAGATTGACGATATCATGAGAAGACGCATCGCAAAGGAAGTTGAGTTGAGCTATTCCCTGCGAGATCTCGACAGCATATCAGATGAAGAATTCATGGATAGGATGAGATCACTTCTCTCCCCTGAAGATATGAGGATGGCATCTGGATATGTCGACCAAGAGACATTTACAATGGACATCCAGGGAACACAAGCAACTATACAGCGCGGAGGCAAACAATTCCTTGAACCTATGAAGCTGAACTCGATGGAAGGCATCATGGATTCAATGGCAGTCCAAATCGCTAGCCTTGTTATTGAAGCTGTACTATTTGTCGTAGGCGTTATTGGTATTAAAGTCCATATTGAAGATTCTATTATCCGAAAGATCATAAAAGAAGTCATGCCGGCATTAAAACAGCCCGCTTTCAAACGAATCATAAGTTCATTCGTTATGACCTGGAAGGAGGGAAGTGCCCTGCAAAAAGCAAAAGCTCTTTTCAGTCTCGTAAAGGAAACCAATTCCCTTGGCATATTCTGGAAAATCGTGAAGATGGCTTTTAAATCAATGAAATGGTATCAGTATTTAAGAGCCGCTGCAGAAATCACCGCGATGATTGTTGCTGCATTTGCCACTGACGGTCTTGCTCTGATTGCCAAAATCGCTCTCTCCGTCAGCGATGCGGTCAACATAACGCAGAAAGTAATTAACTTAACTAAAATGTATGAAATGTCAAAAGCTTTTTAAAGAAAATGATTGACTTGAATTGACAGGAATGACTATTCGAAGACGAATTTTGATTTCAATTAACATTATGCTTGCATATGAATGATAATTTCTTCTTTTTTGATTCATATGTTATTTCTTTCTTATTTGTATTACCTGTAATCTGAATAAACAAAAATAAAGATGTTGAAGATTTGATATCTGTCTCATTTATGTTTAAGTCTCGGTATCGTGACTTATGTTTAAGTCTCGGTATCGTGACTTATGTTTAACTCGGGATCGTGACTTATGTTTAAGTCTCAGGATCGTGACTGATGTTTAAGTCTCGGTATCGTGACTTATGTTTAAGTATCGGTATCGTGACTTATGTTTAAGTATCGGTATCGTGACTTTGCAATTGGTCACTTTTTTTTATACTTTCAAAGAATGAGTACTGTTTATTTTTCAATGAGATTTTTACGATGTTGGTTGTTTTTTTTTCGTTGAGGCACATTATAGCAGCAATGTTGCTTTCCTGTCCACCGTTGATACAGCTGGGGTTTCTTTTCTAAATTACTGACTCAGTACAAATAGGAAAATGTTTTGCTTTTCTATTCATGACATTTTTTGCCACCGATATTGTAGACGAGACTTGGTATATCTATTATATTATAGCCTATTATTCACCAGGCTGGGATAAAAATGGTTTAAACTGCTAAAATATGTGATGGAATTCTAGGAAAATGCACAATTATGGATTAAATTAAAAAGAAACTAGAGGTACTGTGAGCGATGAGCTCACTAAATGATACCCCCCGCCTCCCATATGGTTATAACTGGTGAAAAAGTCCATCTTTTCCTGTGGCCGGGAAACCCAAAATATCTGTCGGATCAAAAAGTAAAATAGGAGGTGCACAATGGCAATATGTAATAAAGATTCTGTGAAAGTTTCATCAAATTTCATTCAGTGGTATGAGAGGAGTTGCGGATAAGAGATGGGTACCCCAAAGCGTAACAGACGGACGGACGTACAGACGGACGGACGGACGGACGGACGGACGGAAATACCGATTACTATATACCCCCACTTTTCAAGCGGGGGGTATAAAAATATCCATGTAACATATCTAGGCCCATACTAATCGTTAATAAAAAAACATTAAAAAAAAAACGTAGAGGGAGTAAGCATAATTATTTTTAAAAAAATATTGACTCCGAAACGTTTCTTTTGGGGGGCGGGGGCTTGTCTTTATTATAATGCAAAACAAGTACATGTACCGCTTTATGTGTGTGAATATGTGCGGCTGGTATGGAAGGGGAGGTGTTAACTATTATATATTGTCAAAATCTAAGTAGGACCCGCTAAATCCCCTCCCAATTCCATTCATACGAACAGTGCATTTTTTTAAGAAATGCTTAAGATGAAATCTACGACATCTTATCATAGGAAATTCATAATATGCCAGACCCCTCCCCCTGTTGTAACGTGCCTACGCAGTATTTTTTTTATGAGATTGCACGTGCTGAAAACCGCACGTGACAGTCCGATATTTTTAAACATTGTAAACATATACAAATTGAATTTCGCTGATGATTGTTTAGCAGAATTTTGCATTATTTTTTTTAGTAAACTTCAGTTTTTGCAACATTTTCGCACTTTCGTCCACATTGCTAAATTTCAAGCAAAATACTTGATACATACATGTATCACTATGAATGCCACATAAAACTAAGATAACAAAGTTGAACCGGAAAATATTGTCCTTTGGTATTTCTATAAAAAAAGAGGCTTTGAAAATCACGTGTTTTCCATTAAAGGAAGCGTCAAAAAATTGAAAAGTGTGGAAAACAGAAAACATTAATGTAAATAACCAATAAAACATATAGAGAACTTTCTCGCTTGTAAAAAAAATTGCACACTTTAGTTTGGTTTGAGTCATTTCGAGGTATTTATTACATGTAGCTTTAAAAAATATATATTATATTACTCATTGACAAAAGAAACACATTTAGTAATAAATTGAAATCTAAAGTTAAACAATTATTTAATTCATTGATTTAAAAATAAATTGCAGCAGATATTTTTTAAGTTCATGAAAAAATCAAATGTAAATAAATGTAATAAATTTTTACCACCTTTATTTATTATCATTACTTATACTTTTTCACGGTTTATTTATTAAATATCTCTGTCAATTTACTTTTTATTATAAATATATTTTTAAATGGTTCTGAAGCATTTTATCAATATTAATACTTCTAATTTATGAGTGTAAAAACGGAGAGACAAAAGACTTCAGTGTGATCAAGCATGCAAAGGACATATAATACTTGATACGTTAAATGCCTGTAGACCTACAAAGCAACTATAATCTATTCTGTTCTTAAATCCCCTCTTAGATATAGAACAAGGAATAAAATCCCATTGGCCCTACAAAATAATTATTTCTCCTTTTCATTGTGCAAATGTTCAGAAAGGCGTGTTTTAATTGCTCAATTTCTTGAATATGTATAAACTTATATGCTTCAGTAGTGATGATCTTTGATTTCACTTTGAAGTACCTTTATATAAAAAATTAATTACATCAAAGTCATTAAATTATACTTAGATTGTAGTTTAATTACACAATTTATTTTTCTTTCTTTTTTTTGAAATATGACACTGCTGGGCGGCCGTAAAGTACTGTCAATCGGATGCGGCGATACCATAGAACTTTTCAATAGCTCCTAGTAAATAAACAAAAAGATAAAAATTCAGAGCAAGAAATATAGATAAATAATACAAGAAACTGCAAATTGTATAATCTTTTGAAATATCCAAGATATGGTATATATTTTTGCTAAAAAAGTTAACAACCGCGATATAATAGCTAAGATCCCGGCGTAGTCTTTGCGGAAAGTCCTTTCAATAGATACCAACAATCTGATCTTTGAAATTTAAGGGCTAGTGCTTTCATATTTTACATATTTAATCCTTGTGACAAGACCTTTCATTTTATATCAAGAATTTTGACCCCTTGACTTTGGAGTTTGACCTACTTATTTAATTTTTTTACCTGGGCCGTAACTTTTGCATGTTTAGGGCTTGGGCTTCCATACTTCACATATTTGTTCTTTGTGGCAAGACCTTTCATTGGATATCAATTACCTTGACCTTTTGACCTTGACGTTGGAGATTTCTGTACTTATGAAAAAACTTTAACCTTGGCCATAACTTTTAAACGCTAGGGGATAGTGCTCTCATACTTCACATTTGTTATCCATGTGAGAAGACCCTTTATTGCATACAGAAAACTTTGTCCTTGGAGTTTAATTTACTTTAAAAAAACCTTAACAGTAATTTTTGAAGGATAAGGGCTAGGGCTTCCATACTTCACATATGTATTCTTTGTGGCAAAACATTTCATTGGATACCATTTATCTTGTCTTTTTGACCTTGAACTTAGAGATTTCTGTACATATGAAAAGGCTTTAACCTTGACCCTCTTTCATATTTCAAAATATTATTTCCAATGACAATACCCTACTTTGGGTACCAATTATTTAATTTGCTTTTAAGAAAAGTTTAGTCTTCGCTATGTTGCCATACGGGGCCATCGGCGTTTCACAAACACATCTTTTTTTTAATGGAATACGTATGCTCGACTTCACGCAGGTGAGTTATTAGCTATAGTTACTGAGAGCAAGAGTCGAGAGATTTCACACATACACACACTAATCTCTAGCTATCACACAGTAAATATTCTAAGTATCTTCTATCAGTTCATGTAGTTCGATGTACCTGATAAATATACTTGTAAACTAATTCAAAGGCAATAAGAACTTGATTTTTTCAGCTGAGCAGTCCTGTTGTTGTATATATTTAACTGAGAAGTGACAGAATTTGTGGGCAGACCATAGTGATCAGAACCCCCCTCCCCCAACTAGTGCCCCCGGAAATTTCCTCAGATCCCAGAGAGACAAGGACATCCTGAACCACTCTCTACCATCGGCTCATACATTCACCTCTGTCGTTGGCTCGCGTATATCACAGTATTAAATACGACAAATAGTGCGTTTGTTTTATTTTGATTCATTTTAATTTAATTTCTATGCTTATGTTTGAGTTTTGAGATAGATATTTACTAAATCAATCAAGAACTATTAATTTAACTTGAAATAATCCTGCAAATATCACGTTTTATATGTTATATCAAAAATCTAAGTGTCTGATCGAGGAAAGAACGACAACTCTGCATAGGAGCATGTCATCAATTAACATATAGATTTTAGCAAGTACATTGTTCGTCTGTCAGTTTGTAGCCCAACTGTTACAAAAACTTTAACTGTATAATAATAATTTTTCAATGAATGAAGACAAAAGGGTTTTGTTCTAAAAAATATGTATTACATGTACATGTGACAAGAACTTTCTGTTGAATTAAAAAAAATATATGTTATGTCCTTGACTTTGGTGTTAAACCTCAACCAATGACATCCTTATGTGATAGGGCTTTTCTGATTTTATTTCATTTTTGATGCAATGACCTTGACCTACTTATAATGACCTTGATCTTTGTCCCTAACCAATAAGGTAAAGCAAAGAACCACATTTTTTCTGAATTTACTTGTTATTTCATAAATTTGATTTGATATTATAAATTTTCCTAGACTCTCACCACATAATTTCCCATTGTCAGCTGTGAATTCCCGAACACATAATGTCCCATCGTCAGCCGTGAAATCCCGAACCCAAAGAGAAAAAGAACCAACAGAAACGGGGACCCAGAAACGTGACATCATCGGCGTTGCCACAGGCAACTTGATTGAGAAAGACCTTGAACCAGAATTCTCTGTGTGTAAGAATTAATAAAGAGATAGGGGTTTAGATCTGATTTTCTTTCTGAACAATGTTTAATACATTCATATATATATTTATATTCACTCATTTCTTGGCATTCTCTTCATATTACCTTTCTTTTGAAGCCTTATTTTAATTACAGATTTTTATTAAAGTTTATATAATAATAGTTTATTTGATTCAGTACAGTTAAAGAATATAA